TCATTTTCATTAATGTGTATGAAACTAAACCGATTACGGTAAAAAACTAAATTCTTTTATATGTCAATAATAATGTGATCTCTTTGACAGTTTATCACATCACATCACATCAAAAAAGGGGTCAAAAGAAGACAAAAAATGGCATATCCCACAACGCTATTTGGCACGTCAAATTACAAACCACGCGCTCCAAAACGCGCATCCATTGCATATTCACTGAACACAGTTACACAATGTGTCACTTATGCTTTACTTCTGAAACTTAAAATATGGCACTTATGCTTTGTTTGGTATTGCTCTTTTTTTTCGTAAAAAAAAAAAACTACGGCATTTTAAAGTTAAGCAATAGAAAGTGTTTGATAAAACTAAAATATCATTTTTGATCCTTTTCATTAAGTAAAGTTGGTAAATGGTTTTTAATTAAAATGCAAAGATTTGAAGTAATTTTCATTATTTTTCAATAAAAATAATGGCCTCCAGTCCATACATCAGTATTTAGGTTGCTTTTAAAAGTTGCTTTTATAAAAAAGCAAAGTTAAACTTTTAATGAATATTTTCAATTCCTTATATCACCGAGTTGAATCTGATCTTATCATTGTTTCAATATTTCTGTTAGATTGGTGAATGCATTGAGAGATTTTCTTTTCTTTTCTTTGTCAATTTTCTCAGCGTTTTCCCGAGAAACAAACAGGAGCTCATAATTGGCTAGTTGGCTTGTTCAACAAGTTTAATGGTTATTTTAAGGCTGTACTAGTACTGCCTACTGCATAGCTAGCAGTAATTTTCCCTATGCAATTAATTTTATATTTTAATTTTTGGGGTAAATATTTCATTCGTAGTCGCTGTTGTGATCGTTTGCAGCAAGGAAAGAGTGTTGTGCGCATTGCGCTGTGCATGGAATCCATACGGGGACTGAGGCTATACGCGCCAGAGCGCGTGAAATCAAGTCTCGTTTTTGTATTAATCATCGTGACGAGAGATTTTTCAGTGTGACCGGCACACGAGGTGGTGTAATGTCATTATATAAATGGTAAGATTTATGTGTTAAAAAGTTAATAACTTAAAAAATAAAATTTCCCACCACTTACATAAAAACATGTGGTGTACCATCTGTGTTCCCGTTGATGAGTCGATATTATACTATATATTATTCCCTATTCTTGGTATATTTTGGTTATTATTTTGGTAGAATTTTGATACTTTGTTATATATTCTCAATGTAGGACATTCGACTTCATCTGGAGCAAAAAGTGATCAAACAGATGAATTTTGGAGTGATTCCAATTGGAGGATGTTCGTGAGTCTGTTAACTTGTTTGTGTCAAAGTTTCATAATTTTCTACCCAGCGGTTTATTTATGGTGATGAAATAAAGGAGCAGCGCGGAGTGCTGTCAAACTGACGTTTTGGGCTTATTTGGGTTTTTTGGCGTCAAATATGATGTCTTTTGGGTTTGAGGCCTTCTACAATTATGTTCGGGACATCTCAAGCTTTAATTCTAGCTGTTTTTGGGCCTGTTTTGGAGCCCTAAAGATCCAGAAACGTGGCTGTTTTGAGGCTGTGCAGATTTTGGGCGAATTTATCTAGTTAATTTAGGATTATGTTTCCTATTTTATTTCAATTTATTTGGTTTCCTAGTTTTAATCTAAGACCTTTTAGGGTTTTATTTTGTAGTAGTATAAATAAGACTTTTAGCCATAAGGGTTTTTGGGGAGGCAACATAGGAGGAAACGCACGCACTAATTTAGAGAGACTTTGAAGTTTATTTTCAAAGTGTTTTCTATCCTTGTTTTTAATAATATTTTGTTTATGGTTGTTCATAACTAATTTCCATTTGCTAGGGCGAAGCCTTGAGCCTTAGTATGAATATGTAATTTTTATTTAATTGCTTATGATTGAATGCATGCATACTTTGAATTATTTATCACCATGATTAAAACTATCTAATTGTTTTAATGCTTAGCTACCATTAGGATGTTTAGAAAAATAATTTGATGCAATTTTGGTCGGAAGGTTCCCTGAAATTGACACTGGCTTCTTGTGATTAATAATTGTAATTTCACTTAAGATGAACACCACGTCTTAAGGGTTGCATGGTTTTTCAAGGGGTTTTCATAAAGCCTAATGAGTCTCTCATGTTCAGATTTGATCCGAACGTCCGGACGGATTGCATGTTAGATATATGTTTTATGTTGGAGGTTCCAAGTAGAATATAAATTAGGAAAACCTAACCTTCAAAGTGGCATGTGTAGATCATAAGTAATTGGTAAGAATTCATAGGATTGCTTGGTGATGGTGGAACTCTAGGCTTTTAACTTTATTTTTCAAAACTATTTTCTTTGGTTTTTCTTTGTTAACTTCTTTAATTGTTTTATTTTAAAATTCGTTTTTATTATTTTAAATTCCAAAATCAACCTTTTCGAAATTTTGTTCTAAATAATTAGCTAAGGATTAGTTTAAATACAAATTATTCAATCAATCTCTGTCGAAAACGACCTTGCTTAAACTGCTATACTACGATAATCTTGTACTCTTGTAAGTATTTTTAAGTGTTTTTATCCCTACTTTTGTAGGTGGTAAAAATCATATCACCCGTCACAATGAAAAATTTCTTCATCGTGACGGCGTGAACCGTCCTCTTTTGTCAGTTAATTAGGATGATAATTTGGAATATAAACAGTATATTAAATGTCATAATACAAGGTATAGAGAGATTAAAAATAAAAGTTAATCTCTTAGATTGTAACATTGAGACACCGAACCGTGTTACCAATGAACTAAATAAATTTCCGATGAGCAAGCGCTGCATGCCTGCTTGCGTTACCGGAATTGGACGCACCAAAGCGCGTGAATAGTTGCAGGACTACGAGTCATGGCGGTTAACAACAAACAAACATGGTGGTGTTTGAAGTTTGTTATTATTGTTCCAATACTGCCCCTATAGAGAGAATGGATTAATATGCCAACGAAATAATTATATGATAGGGTTCCAAATAACACTGCTGGTTTGTACTAATTGCATGCACTTAGCGTTTAGTTATCACCTAAGGAGTCGTAGCCTTGAAAGATATTTCTTTTTTTTTTATTAAAAAAATTAGCACCGTGAAATCCATCGTATACTTGATTATGAGAATTGAAATAAAATAGAAAATGGTGACGGATTAGGCGAATGAACTACCAATTGAATTGTATGCTGTTACAACTAAAGAATACTTTTTTTGGGCTATTAGGTAAACCATATGGGGGAATGCATTGTTGTATCAAAGTTTTCGGTTTTCGCTTCGAAGATGATTAGTTGTCGAGAAAGACTCAATTTTTCAATATTTCATCTCTATTCTAGGTCAATACACATTTATGTAGGGGATGTAGATATATGGCTATGGCCTCTAACTACCATTGCATTTTTTACAATGATGGTTGTTTCTTTTTTTGCTCTCCAAAACCTAAAAAGATGAATAAAAATGAATGAAAAGTGTGAATATTTAAATGAACTGAAATTTACACCATGGTCTTCACAAATCAAGTCAAGTCTTTATGTAGAAAAAAGAAACTAACTGACAAAAGAAAGCAAACAGGATTCTCTCCTGATAATTTTGTTGATGATTTGTAAACTCTGTTCGTTTATCGTACATTGTGTAATTAATTTTTATCAGGTACTATTTATATCTAGTTTTAAATAAAAATATTTAACATGATTTCTGACCGTATAATTAACGGATATGATTTACGAATCTTCGAAATTCTCACAAAGAGGATCCAGCAAGGTTCGAATTTGAAAGAAAGTTGAGATTACAGTTTATTTTTTATTTATTTTTTTTGTTTTTGTAAACACCAGTGACTTGATTTCACCGTGCTCGGCACGTATTTTTGGTCAGCGCCACGGGTGGCACTGAATTTGCGCCAGACGAGTGTTGTCTGAGCATGGATACGCGCCAAGGCGCGTGATTGTTACTCGACTCTTTGAAAATGGGCGGTTGCAAAGTTTGTTGTTATCCGAGATTGGGAGTACATGGATACGCGCCCAAAGGTTTAATTCAATCGGATTTATCTTTGAAAGAGAAAATAATGGGCCTTTATGGGCCGGCCAATCTTTGGACTATGGACGAGCCATGAAGCTTCGAATTCCCGTTTTGGTTTTTATCATTTTTAATTTAGCCATATTTATTAATCTTTACCTCCTAAAATTTTCGTTTAATCACTTGATCTTTGAAACTGAATTTGTCTCATTTTATCTTCTAAAATTTCTAAAATCGAGTCATTTCACCTCATTTACATTCAAGTTGGTAGAGATATAGCTGTTCCAAAATTTTAAGACATCATACTTCGCCAATCACAGTACCTCATTTTTTCCAACATCGATACAAAGAGGATCCTCCTTAGATCCTAGAATCACACACTTCATAATTTACATGATAAGATTCAGCGTACGCCTGCCCTTAAAATTTGATAAGTGCCCCAATAGCCAAAAGAATCAAACTTTCTCTCTTAGTTGCATGCCCTTAAAATTTGGTAAGTTCCCAATAGCCAAAAACATCCATCCATTTGTAACAAGAGGCGAAGCTACATGGGCGCAAGGAGGTGCAGTTGCACCTCCGCTCTCCGAAAATTGAGGAACAGCTCCTCTGTTTCTGGGCTTGATGGAACCGCCCCTCTGTTTCTGGGCTTGATGGAGAAAGTGAAGTTCTGCAGCCTACGTGTTGCTGCAGGATTTCTTTTTATCAAAAAATATCCAGGTCAAACCACTTAGTACTACGGTACGGTGTAGTAGTATTCCTCTTCATTTGTAAGTAAGAGATCTTAAGTTCGATTCTCGTCATAGGTGAATTCGAAACACACTATTGATAACCCATTGTGAGGCTAAATCCATTATCTACCGTGTAGATAATATAGTTTTTTCACCTGAAAAAAAAAACGAAAAACAAAGGGGCCAAAACCACGTCGTTTTGGACTTGGGATTTATTTGTCTTTTTCATTTTAAAAATAAAAAAAACTTAACGCCAGGGACGAAAAAGGCAGAACGTTCTCTGCCATTGGAATTGGAAGCAAGTAGCAGTGACCAACGAACGGCTCAGGCTCCCCACTCCCACTCCCAGCACAGCAGGCTACCGCCGTCAGTCACGTTCCGTCGCCCTCCACACTCGACGCCGTCGTCAGCCACCGTCCCATCACCACCGGCAACAGTCAATTTTGAGTTAATCTCTAATTTTTCAAGTTTTAGTTATTTAAATCCCTAATATGTGATTTTGGGAAATGGAGCCCATCTGTCAACAACTTTCGTAGCTCCTTTTTTGTTCTTTGTAATGAAAAACAACTCTCTCAGCTAATCACTTTGGAGTTTCCTGTTTCGATGTTGATATGCAAACGACTGTATAAATTCATGGTTCTGCCCTTAATACGATTGTTTGCCATGAAAAGTAAATTTCTTGCTTTCGATTTGCGTAGTTTTAGCAACGTAAGTAGTTCGATTGCCAGGCACAAAATGCTTTACAGCATCATGAATTGGAGATATAATTGGCTAGGTACTTGATTTGTGTTGTTTAGAGGAATGTGAGTTCTTTGTTAGTTGCAGGATGCTAGCACTTCCTCGTAATGAAACAAGTTGGCGTCTTTATTTGGTTTCTCAAAATTAAGCTGAAGATCTCGTAATGAAACAAATTGGCGCCTTGCAGTTTGAAATTCCACCAAATGCACCGTATTCTTTTTCCGTACGTTTAAACTTTCTGGATTTCTCGTTATTTTTAACATTTCCCCCCGCAATTTTCAGCATTTAAAACTCTTTTTTTGGGTGATGCCATTTTAATGTTGAAAATTGAAATGTATTGATTTGCAGGGTTTGAACACGGAGCATCCAGTATTGAGTATAGGTGACAAGCTCAAGTTGGTGAGTTTTAACGGCCTAAAAAACTGAAATTATGTATGAAAATCAATGGTTTTGTTCTCTAGTCAATGATTCTATGCTGATTCTTAACTTTTAAACTGCTTTGATTCGAATCTGTGTGATTCAATGGTTTTGTTTGTTTGTAAAACTGACATCATGTTTCTATGCAGTCAATGCCACATTTTCCCTTTTTTGTTTTTGTTTTTTACCTTACCCATTCCCATACTTGGTAGGAGTGTTGAGGCTGTGAAATTAGTTCGTGTTGTTTCATGCAGCATTTGAATTTGGTCTTAAGTTATGCTGGTTTTATGTAACATGGTATGTCTTCTGTGGCAATGAAATGTTTTAATCCGAACTTTGCACTGATATCATGCTTAGGGTTTGATGCTATCGGGGAACTGTTTGTGTGTTTGTAGAAGAATTTGACAAAATTAATTCCCTGGCAGTGGTTTTAGGCTTTTAGATGACATTTAGTTAGCAGAGTCTTTTATGTAGACATGTAGACATTAATGTATGCGTGTAAAAACTACCATGCAGACTCTTAGATTGGATTGTGCTTGCTTTGCACATTTTTTCATATTGTTTTACCTTGGTAATTTTTGGATTTGTTTGGAGCATTGAGCCTATGAAATTAGTTTATGTTGTTTTACGCAGCATATGAAATGCCTTGGCATCGCCCTCGCTCTTTAAAACATTGGCAGCGAATGCTTTAGTGGCAATTAAATGTTTTAACTCCGATCTTTCTACTGTTTATCTTGCTGAGTGTTTGGTGCTGTCCTGGCACTTTGTATTGTTTATAACTAGTGATACTGTGCAGATGTTTATGTCGTACTTTGAGTTTAGACATTCATGGCAATTGGATAGTAGTTTTCTTTATTATTCAGTACTTGCTGTAACTCCCACTTTGATTTTCTCTTTTGAGCCTTGTGAGCTGTTTCATTCATTTTTATTAGTAATTGGTATGTTATACTTGAAAGAACTAGGGCAAATTCTGCATCACTGGAAAGGCTTGGAGGTTGAAGTTGTGGGCTGACATGATTTCTTTTCACTAATTCTTGTTTCCTGCAGATAGGAGAATATCAAGAAACGGTTAGAACATGCCTTATATTCGAAGAAGAAGGTAAATTACATTTCTATCTCACTCAGAATACACCTGTAAGAAACTATGGAAACTTGTCTTCTATGCATGTACTGGACAATATCTTTTTTGATTAAGATTGTTTTGATCCCTCTAAATTACGGTCCTCTAGTTCTGCAAGTAAATTGAGGGCTTCCCCATCCTTAGTTCATTCTTTACTTTTTTTCGATTCTATTGTTCTCCAACTGAGCTGAGGAGTCCAAAGTTCTATTCCAATACAAGGATCGGCTTTCATTTGAGGGCCAACAAATTTCTAGGCACCAGTTTGTGTGTATTGTGAAAGTACTCGGTAAAGTTCATTGGCATCAAGAGGGACGCATCATAGGCAATGAATTTCGTCTTGTGAGTTGTGACTGCTTCCATTGAAGTTTTTTAGTATTCACTGTTGACTTGCATGGTTCTTAAATCCGTACATACTTTGATAAGAGTGAGGAACTAGAATAGATATTGAAAGGTGATCTTGATTTTTGAATAGATTGTAGAAAACTTAGGTTATACCACTTCCCTTTGCCGATGGAAGGTAGGGCATCAGCGCAGCGCTACCCTAACTTGAAGCGCCTCGTGATCACCTTTAGTCAGGTTGAGTACAAATAGGGGCAAACCCTGACCGAGATGAACCCTCAACAAGACCCATATTTGGTTTAGATATCTATAGACATACCATTGGAAACCTTTGTTAATCCGGAATCTGTTACTGGATACCCCCTCTCCCCGAGACCTCTTGCCTCACTATGTATTTTCATGGAGTCACAGAATTTGCCTTGAAAAGAAAAAATGGTCATATTGTTGCAGAAGGTGGTTATGACAGCCAAAAGTCAGTCATAATCTATTCTTTTAAGTTTCTCATTATGATGTACATAAATTATCAAAGATCGCATTCAATCAATCAATCAGGAAAAAAGAAGCCACCTATCAAGTTGTATTGTTTCTTTTATTTACTTCTTGTATCTGCTTGCACCAGTAGCACCTTATTTTGAACTAAAGCGAGCCCTATTGCAGATGCTAGCGCAGCGGTTCATGAAGAAACGGGGCCATCGGAAGCAAGCAAACCCTTTTGCAGGCAAATGCATAATGGATCCAAATCAATCTCCAAGCAAGCAAGTGAAACCAGTTATGAGCCTTCAACGGATTTTAAAATTTCGATTGGCTCCCAATCTCGACTCTCATGATCCACCTGAACAGTCTCGGTAAGTAAAGTCTCTGAATTATGTATCTTATTTCTGAATTCCTTAGTCGACACAAGCTTATTCCCTGGTTTTGAAAATGCCAGGGATCCGGTGCTACATACAGTGCAATCAGTGGCCGAATGACCAATATTGGAATCCTTATTCGACGCTAGCTTGCTCCCCCGTTAAAGAAGGGTTACTTGCATGCTAAGCTAAAAGCTGAATGATGTTGTACAGCCCTTTTCTGGTTAGATTTTTTCTTTTCCTTTTGACTTGGGTGGCGCCATGAGCTTCAGAGAAAATTAGAAAAGAGAATTATTTATTCGTTAAGACTTCACATTTGCTTGCTTTCAAACATTTTAAATTTATATCTTGCTTTTGTATATTGTTTCCAATGGCTTGTCCACTCCTACCTTGGTGGACCTGGCACAAATGTAATATTGGAATCCTGTTGCCCTTTCCCCTTTTGACCTTCTGCACTTCATTTAATTTTGTTATTCTTTTTTGATTTATTCAATCCGATGAAATGAATCATTGAATTTGTTGGGAGACCGTGTTTTCAGATCAATGTGTATATTTTGAATGATTGGATGCTACAGCCTAGGCTTGTTATTTTAATCAATAAATTATTAGTAAAGTAATGACTAATGAGTATTACAAACTTAAGGCTGATTTCCTCCTTGAACCTTCATAAATAGCCAATTCATGGGCGGTTGGATCAATGCAAGATGAAATACATGTGCTGGCCAATGGAAAAATTGAAGGACGTGACGAAAGACTAAAGTGCAGCACGTGACAAAATAGAGTACCAACATTTAATATTTGAATGGAGGAATCACTAGGAAACTCTGGTATTGGTTTAGAGATCATGACTATAATTAACTCATATTACTTGGCTCTTTTAAAAACAAATAAAACAAGATAATAACATGTTAATTATATTATAATCTAAATTAATAACATTACGTGACAATATAAGGATATTGACTTATGGATTATTTCATAGAGGCAAGTTTAGACAAATGCCATGTGACTCCTAGGACAACTACCCCCAACTTGGTGATTTGGAAGCTTACAAGTAGGAAGCATCTGGCCCTTCCACGTGGAAGCAAATCCACGACATCAGAGTCAGCAGACCCCATCACCGGTCCAATCACAGCCAGCCAGGTGTGCCAGTTTCTCCTTCGTTGCATCATCGCCTACTTTCTCTGCTACTGCTTTTGCTGAAGCTTCCGTTCTTTTATTCTCATTTCAATCCCACCAGACGAAGCCTCGGGACCAATTCTCTGCCCCAAAAAACCCAAATTAAATATTCAAATTAATTTCTTACTTTCCCTTTAAATAATTTGGAAATTAGGGCTTTTATTTTGTGTTTTTTTTTTCTGTTGTTTCTTCCCCAATTGGAAAGTGGAAGCCCCAACTTTTGGCTCAGAGCTTGAATTTCTCAATTATTCGTACGAACAAGTCAGAGATCGCCGCCCAAAAGCCTCCAAATTTCCACTTTCTGTTGTTGGTAAATTTTTACTGCTGCTTTATAGTTAGAATCTTCATTTGATTCAATTGGGTTTTTAATTTCACTTTTTTTGCTGCTGTGAAAGGTTAATTACTGTTCTTTGATCGGTTTTGCTCAACAATTTTGCAGGTAAGGCCTTATTCGTCGAGTTTTCGATAATTGTAGGAAAAGGGCTGTGATATTTGGTCCGTCTGATGATTTATTTCCAATCACTGTATCAAAAACCTTTGAAATTTTCATCTGATAGTTACCCCTTGTTGTACTCCATTTGCTGCATTTTCCTCCCTTCTGATTTGTTCTTCATCTGTTGCTTTAATTGCCTCCGATTTCGCCTAAAACTTTGACACTCATCAATCATCATAGTGAAGCTCAATTCCTTTTAATTGGATGTATATAAGACTATAGTTATACAATTTTATTTGGTATTTTCTTGGTGCTGGTGGATTTGAAGGATTCATAATGGCGATGGGGTGTAGGCCGGTGTCAATGGAGGACTTGCCGTCACATTTGGTTTTAGAAATCTTGAGCTCGGGAAGGCTTAGCGCCATTGATCTTCTACGTTTAGAGTTAACTTCTAGGACATTTGGAGGGAGTCAGTGCTTATACCCTCACAAGTTTCGGTCATTGGTGGATTTTGCGGCATATCAGCTATGCGTGTCCCATTCTGTATATGCTAAAATGGAAGGGGATGCTCAGAGTGAGCTATTTAATCGGTGTGGTGGGAAATGGAAGCGGGTTTTGAGGTTCTTGCAATCGGTGGAGCAATCATCTGACATGGTTGAGACCTCAGCAGGCAATGTACTATTTCATTATTGTTTGCAGTTTCTTATGATTCATGAATGAACTTTATCAGCAATTTGGAGTACTGGTTGTGGGAAAGAACACCAATGTGCGTGATAATATATTTTGGGAGTTTTCTAATTTAGTCAATCATAAACTACCCATTTTACATGAAATGATTTTGTTGTTGGAAATTTAATCCTTTATTTATTTAGATTCTTGAAATTCTTGCATTGAGATTAGTTGGTATCTATGTTTAAGGTGTAAGTACAAAACCAACCTGAATTGTGTGGTATTAAATTCTTTTGCCTAATAAACTTTTGCCAGTAGTTTTTTACTTCTTTTTTTTTTTTTTTTTTTTCAATTTTTACAATCTTATTTGCATAAGCAGTAGAAACTATTTTTAAGTACTTTCTGGTTGAAAGGAAACTGAGAAATGAGATATAGATTTTAAAATAACCTGGTACTGTAATATATAGGATTGCTTTCCATTACCTAACCGTTTGGAAGACTCGCAGAAAATGACATTATTTAGATTATCTGCTAATAGAACAAAGATATTAATATAATGTCTTCTAGAGGTTTGCTAGCTAGATCGACCTATTGGTATATTGATAACTTTTTTTTGTTGTTTTATGCTGTGTTAAGTTTGTTGTACAATTTTCTGGTCCTTGATAGCTGCTGGCTAAAAGTTATGGTTAATTAAGATTTTTTTTTTTATCAACAGATGCAAATTACAACTGGACGGTATCACACATTGCTAATCAGCAATTCATCATTGTACTCATGTGGTGCCAGCTTGTGTGGTGTTCTTGGTCATGGCTCTGAGACTAAGCAATGTGTAACATTTACCCGGATTAATTTTCCATCTCCAGTGCACGTGGTCCAAGTCTCAGCCTCCCACAACCATGCTGCTTTTGTTATGCAATCTGGAGAGGTTAGTACCTGCTTATACCTCAACATGGTATACCTTATTCTGAGCTGAACAAATAGTTTTCTTCTGTATCTTAGATTTGAATGCATAAGAAATACTTCTCCATCATTTTGTGCTCAATATTTCCACGCATAATTTAAATTCTTCCACTGACTTTGTCAATGTTCCTTAGATTTTTTTGCAAGTTATGACACCCATGGGTTGTTGATTATTTGGCAGTGATAGGCACTTAAAAGTTATTGTCGAGGTTTAGCAACCCTTTATGATCCCATCATGAAACCTGGTTTAGAATTTGGTCTGATTTCCACCATCGATATATCTGGCTATCTACACACACACAGCTTTCTGCACCTATGTACCATTTATACTTCCCATATCTTGTATACTCAAAACTTAGTAGGTCACTCTCACGTTAGTCTTCTAAGAGTTGCCTTGATGCATTAAATTTGTGCTCGTGTCTTGGCAATTGTTTCTCTTATAGAAGATGAATATGCATTGCAAAGCGTTTTAGATATTATGCATGACCGTCCTTCTAGTCATGTAATGACGCATTGTGGTTACTGATACAGGTTTTCACATGTGGGGATAATTCATCATTTTGTTGTGGGCATAAAGATACAAACCGGCCAATTTTTAGGCCTAGGCTTGTTGAGGCATTGAAAGGACTTCCTTGCAAGCAGGTAAACTTATATCCTCATTGTTGTATTATAAATGACAATTAATTTTGGGAAGTGTTATTGGCACTCCAAAAATCTCATTCTACACTCCTCACAAGTGTATTTTTCTTTCTAAATATAGAAAGTTTGGAGTGTAGAATGAGAATTTTGAAGTGCCAACAACAATTCCCTTAATTTTTTTCAAATAGATAAAAAAGGTGTCAAAATCGGTGGATATTATACGATCTTCTGGGTAAAGCTAATGGAGAATTTTTCCCTTCATTGTGTCAACAATAGGAAATTGTTGGATTTTTGGGAAACGAATCATTGTCTAGTATTATGGATGAAAATCCCTGTTCAAAGGCTATATAGTTGTTGCACTACAATTTCTATTCTTCTGTTTTCCTTTAATTTGTAACCCCTGCACTATGATTTCTGGATTATGGAATTACTTTTAAATGATATGTCTAGTTATTGGATTCTTCTGCTTGTATGTAAAATAAACATCACCCTTTTTTACCATAGAAATATCACTCTTTCCTCAAGAAAACAAAAACTAGGAAGCCTTTTGAAGGCTTCTGGAATTTGAAGCTAAATACGTTGATTGATGATGTGCTCAGTCTTAAGAGGTCTGATTCGGACCATTCTTCCAATTATACATTCCTCTTTTTCATCGAGAAAAACCAATAACTATAGATATGAATGGCCCAAGTTCTCGTTCTCCATTCTTGCAAATGGATCTTATGCTTTATTCCATTCTTAGGTGATAATTACTCTACTCTTTATCTTCTCCAATGTCGATGCGTATCACTATATCTTCATGAGTTATCTGTTGGAACTTGTTTCACTCCAATTCCTTTTTCCTTTCCTATTTATACAACTTGTAGTTGGACATTAAATAGCTAGAACTTGTTTCAGGTTGCTACAGGGCTTAATTTTACCGTGTTTCTTACAAGACAAGGTCGTGTTTATACATGTGGGGCCAACACACATGGTCAACTTGGTCATGGAGACACCATAGATAGCCCAACTCCCAAAATGATTGAAATGCCCGAGGGCATTGGTTCCATTGTTCAGATTGCTGCTGGTCCAAATTATGTCTTAGCTGTAACTGACAATGGACTAGTGTACTCTTTTGGGTCAGGTTCTAACTTCTGTCTTGGCCATGGAGAGCAGCATGATGAGTTTCAGCCACGTGCAATTCAAAAATTTAAAAGACAGGGTATTCATGTGGTTCGAGTCTCTGCGGGCGACGAGCATGCCGTGGCACTTGATTCCAATGGATTTGTTAGTCTCCTAACCGGTGATAAAATTTCAATATTTTATTGTTGTGCTTGGCATGTATTTGACTTCTGTCAAAAACCATGGAAATTGCAGGTACATACTTGGGGTAAAGGCTACTGCGGTGCATTAGGCCATGGGGATGAGATTGACAAGACCACCCCAGAACTCTTGACCAAGCTCAAAAGCCACCTCGCTGTGCAGGTTTGGTTTTTTCATTCATCTTATCATTTCTGATAATTATGATTTTTTAAGTCCATTGTTCTATGCTGCCCTCAATTGTTAAGAGTAGATGCAATGCTCCAACACTACAACTTTGGCGTTGTGAAACTCGCATACAAATCTGTGCATCTCTCTCCTGTTTTTTCCCTTTTCATGTGGAACTTCTCGTTTTAATCCATAGGTGTGCTATAACAGTTACTGTACTCTGTAGGTGTGTGCTAGAAAGCGGAAGACCTTTTTCCTCTGTGACAATGGTTCAGTATATGGTTGCGGTTGGATGAGCTTTGGTAGCCTTGGATTTCCCGACAGGGGATTATCTGATAAGATCTTGAGCCCTCGAATCCTCGATAGCTTAAGAGATCATCATGTTTCTCAGATTAGCACTGGGCTGTACCATACTGTTGTTGTCACTAACCGCGGACAACTCTTTGGATTTGGAGATAATGAAAGGGCACAACTCGGGCACGACACATTGCGATGTTGCCTTGAACCAAATGAAATCTTCATACAAGAAACGGCTGATGACATGGATCGCGTTACAGAATGCCTCTGACCTCAGGGAAAAACCATCTGCTTTGTGGAGTTGTATGATTTCGTATGTCCTTAAGGTAAATAGCTTTGTGTATCTGTGAGATCAAAATGTTGAAGGCGTTACATGATAATTTGTGTGTGATATTTGTTGTGGGAAATTAGATTGCGTATAATATAAGAAGTACAGCTACGTTGTGTGTTCATTTTGTTTCAGTTTCCAGGTTGCCTTGTCAATGATGCTTCCTTCAAATTATGCCTACTTCTATGATACCATATTATGCTAGCATCAATCAAGGACTGTGATACCATCCGTGCACGACTGATGCTAACATAATGAGCGTCATTATGCCGTAGAATGCAAGTACCTGCGGCCAGCCGGCCAACCAACATGGGTTTTAAAATAAGGGAACTTTAACGAAAAGCACCCGGTACTGTTCACTTTAACGAAAAACCACATTTTTACACTAAAAAGTCAATCCTGGTATTATTCACTTTATCCTTTATCTTGTCCTTATCATTAAAACTCAAAGTTTTCAAGCTTTTTTCATTAGTTTTCCTTTAAAATAATCATTAGTCCATCGTAACCGTGTCGGTAACATAAAAATCCTACCCACCTATATGGGGGACAATATTTGTTTGAACGGACTTTCACGAAGCACGTCTTTTGGATTCTAGATTTGTATTAGTAAGGGTACAAATTTAGTTGGCAGTCCATGTCAACATTAATATATTTGTAGTACGAGACACTACCTACTTTCAAAGTTTGCCAGATTTCATCAAACTATAAGGAATTGAAATATTTATTATCTTTTCTGACGGCATTCTAATATCAGTTGTCCTCCTCTAAAATGGGACGTTGGAAGCAGAGTGAAATGAGATGACATGATCCATGTGACAAGCGTGCCTCCTTTTGTGTTGTTTGTTAAGTAGTTGGAAGTTTGCAAGAGGAAGAGACAATTGGAGCATTGGTCTTCAATTTTGGCTTAATTGGAGTTTTTAGTCTTTAAACAAAAAATATGTAAGATTTGATCTCTGAATTTGTCATAACGCGGAGGATTATTCAGTTACAACTTTTATCCATATTTTTCGCTTCAAATATCATAATTTGGACAAAAGTTTTATCGAAGTTACCTAAAAAGAATAGTGCTCCACATTGTGACAAGTTCAAGCACCAGTTTTTATTGACTTTTAGTTTGAGGTGCAAAGATCCAATTTGGCCAAAATTCAGGAACTATGCTTCAATTTTATCAAAAGAGGAGAACAAGCTATGTTTTCCTCCATTTTAAATTCCAACCACAAAAGTGCAACTCATGCTCTGTTTCCACTATATAAGAAGCACTTGCATACAATAAGATCGTCAAAGTGGTCATGTTTTAACTAATTATGTTATGTGAGAAAATTAAAGTTATGTGAGAAAATTAAAGTTATGGCTACACGTGATATGTTTGAAACATGACCAACTTAACGCCCCAACTTTATTTAAGTCTCTCTACTAGTGGACCTGACTTCTCTGCCCTCCCACTTCCCATAAACTTTCATCTCCTCTTATTTGTGCGGTTACGGTTAAGCCGCATCAACATTTTATATTACTATTGTTTTTTGTTTTATTATCTTTATAAAAAAAATTAATATAAAATGTTGACGTGGCTTAACCGTGACCGCACAAAATAAGAGAGGATGAGAGTGTGTAAGAAGTGGAAGGGCAGAGAAGCCGGGTCCCTCTACTAGTACATGTGTCTCTACACTGTCTCCAAGTACAATACTTATGTGTGACTATCACTTATCACGTGACAATTTATTAACACACATTTTTTTCTCCCTTACCGTACCCTGAGCTTGTTAAATATCATAAATAATATTGATCATAGTGGCACATCTCTTCTGCCAACCAATTTTTTTATTTTTTTTTGCTAAAGATTTGTTTTTTCAAGTTTATGGATGAGGAGGATCCCGGAGTTCACTTTATCATATTCATCGTACATTGTGTGTTCATTTTTTATCAGATACTATTTGTGTTCAATTTTAAATAAAAAAATTCAAAAATAATTTATGACCACAAGATGACAAATGAACGGATACAATTAAGTGATTTTGGAATTCTCACAAAGAGAATCCGGATAAGATCCTATCCACAAGTGTATGTACACTTAACTGAAAGAGGGGCTGTAAAGTAAAAGAACATCTAATGGTCAAAAGTAATTCTCTTCTTGATGAAGACACTTTGTATTATCTAATCACTAATCACCATTTTCCTTCTTTATTTACTATTTTACTTATGGGACTCCAGGTCACTTTATCTTTTTTCAGAAAAAATGCTAAAATAATCATGTTTTTAAATTATATAACATGAAAATAGATGATTAAAATTCCTCTATAGTACGTAACTTAATCATAACAAAACCGCGTTTAAAGGACGACTTTTTTCCATGGCCCTTCTTAATTTGTCCTTTGCCTTTTTATTTGTTTAATTTTTAAGCTACTTGCAATGCCTTTTACACTTTACAGTAAAGAATTGCTAATTTCCTATCCATTCATATGCTTTTAACATTTTCTTCAATACTTTAGGAACTAAAAAATCAATCACAACATTATTTATTTTATTTTTTATTTTATTTTTATCGTTAAAATTTAAAAATTTAAAATTATTTTTTATTAATTTTTCTAAAAAAATATATATTAAAAAAAAAAAAAAACTAAAGTAATCGTCGTCCTCGTCTTCGTCCTCGTCCTCGTCCTTGTAATTTTGGAAGAATAAACATCAAACCCAGGCGTCCATTTGTGAACTACAAGGTACATAAGCTTGAAAATTGAAATCCGAGGGTGTGGGGTGGGTGCCGACGGTGTCAAACCGAGTTGGAGAGACAAACTTCTGAATGTTCAGAATGGATTACAAGCTCTGGATCTGGAAAATTTCAAACGCGATCTTGATGAGTTGAATTGGAGTCCGATTGTTGGTCTTGAGCTTGTAGATTTGATTAATAGCTATTTTGTTGCAATTTTGAAAAGAAAAGAGGATTTGGAATTTGTTCTTACTGGAGGACCTAGGCTTATTTCGGTTCATTACCTTGTAGTTCACAAATGGAGGCCTGTGTGTGATGTTAATTCTTCCAAATTTGCATGGACTGCTGCTGTTTGGGTTGGAAGTAGATGGCTGGGTGCGAGGAGGAAGAAGACCATTATTTTAGTTTTTTTGTTTTTAATTTTTGAAGTACATTTCCTTTTTTTAATTAAAATAAACTTTCCTTAATCCACATGACATAAAGTGAGAGGCCTATTCTGTGCCACGTTAACATACTAACAGATCTTTTAACGAAATTATTACGACATTATTGATTTGTATCATCAATTTTTAAGGATTATATTGATTGATTTTCAATTTCAAAAATCATTTGTAATAAAAATCCTTAATTATTTGCTTTCGAAAAAGTTCCCAAATGATCATTTTACCAAAATTGGGTTAATTTGAGCTAGCCTTCAACTGGCTATGGACATAGATGATATTTAAATATGGAATGTGCTATCTATATATTCTTTTTACTTTTCTCATCTTCTTTGTTAATTTCTATCAATTTGATATTCTTCAATGCATCATATCCGAAAACCAAAAATTAAAAAAGTGTAAGAGAAGTAAACATGATTATGGATATGACATCGCTTTAAACATATCCAAATTTAAACGGATGTAAATAAATGCTTGAATATTCGACCACGTGGGTGGACAGAGGTGAATTGACTGGCAAGTCCCTGCTGTATTGGGGCAGGGATTAGTGAAAGCCTGCCTACTGTACCTGCTACCAGCCAAAAGCAAAAAGCAAAAGCAGTGGAGAAGCAGAAATGATCAGTAGAACTTTGGATACTCTTGTAATTTGGATCAGGGAATATGCTATGCTCTACATATTATGTGGCAGGGGATAAGCACATGATATTCTGCTGCCAATTTTGGTAACACATAAGTTTGACAGAGATTCATGGATTTACCAAGACTGTAGATAACATGAAAATCATAATCTAATCTGCTTACGTTCTGCAGAGAGAGTCTCTCTTATTATCGAATTGTTTATATGCGAACATTAGTTTCATCAGAAAAATTATAACTATTCTCAATTGCATAACGCATCGTATTTATTAACTTACTAAATTTAAATAATAATGTACAATCAGTAATACGACGAATTCTTTTTCCAACTATTCCAAGTTTATAAACCAGTGAAAATTTAATCAACAAAAACAAGTCATGGGTTGATTCAAGAAACAAACCACCTTTGTGGCAAATCGAAATTTTTTTGGTGTTGGTCGATAAATAAATAAAAGAGCATAAAAACTGATAATTTCATGGTTGCTTTTATGTTGCTATGTTGGTATACATGTAAATGCATACATAAATAGTACTTAAAAAGCAACAGTGAGAATAAATAAATAATACCTTGAGGTGATTAGGCCATGACGTCAGTACGCGTGGTACGGATATGACCCGTCTTCTTATTAGTTTGACAAATCCTTCCTATCACCTAAATTTATATTTAGGGTTTAGGATTCGAGAACACGTACTTTTGACACATATTTTAAATCGAGGCATTACGTAGTGTGATTGTGCTCTCACCCTACGTTCAAGTTTTAGTAGCCTAAAGTTGAGTGCTTGTGTTCTCAATTATATTCGAATTCGAATCTTTCTCTAACGTAAAATATTATTTGTATAAAATGAAAATTGCATAACTCCATCCATGCCAATGCCAAAAGAGGCAATTTCCAAGATCAAATTGTAAAAGAAGAAAAGATCACATTTCAGATATCATACAAACTCCGAGTGCCAAAAACATTACAAAACCAAACTTTGAATTTTAGAGCACAAGATTCCCCCCTCCTATTCACATCACTACCTCATTTTTTTTTTCATATTTTTTTACCCCATGGTTTTATTCATTCCAACCTCATTTGATGATCAAAACCAAAACTTGTACACTTTACAAACTCCTCCTAGAAAACAACCTTTCTAGAAAATACACCCCCTACATTCTTCAGATCTCCAATGATCCGTGACGTCTCGATCCAATAATACAATGTACGAAGCCGGGCGGAGGCAGGCCCTTCCTACTTTCTAACCCATGGTTTCCAAATGTTCCCTGAAAACTTCCAGCATCCCAGAAAAAGTGACAATTCCCACCACGCTACAATCATCCTCAATAACCCACACGTAGTTCACTCTGTGAGCAATTGCCTGAATCATCACAGCAACC